CCCAACTCTGGCATTTCTTGCTGGTTGGTGAGGGGTTTCGCCCTAGATCCCTCAAAGCCCCAAGCCCCAAACCCGAAAAGCCTAAACCAGTGGCCTTACTTGTAATCATTATATTAGATGATATATGACCCAGACCTTACGAGAATGATACTATAATCTCAATCAAAACGAAAACGGTGCATTACAAAACTATAACGTTACTATAACTCACAACCCTAAATCCCAGACCATAAGCCACCGTGGAGGAGAGGTTCTCCTTACTGCTGGCCCAGGGGGCTCCACCGCAGTGCTATTCCGGCTGTAGCAAGGAGGAAACGAGTAACCAAGCAAAACCACCCCTAAACCCTAAACCTCCAAAGACCCAAAACCCTAAACCCCTAACCCCCTAAACCCTCAAACCCCCAAACCCCCAAAAACCCAAAGCCCTAAACCCCCAGAACCCTAAACCCCCAAAGCCCTAAACCCCTAAAGCCCTAAGGTTCCAAACCCAGTTTATTGTTTTTTGTGACGCCGCCTTGCAGGGCCGCCGTTTGGCGGCCGTGGACGCCCTCTTTGCCGAAGCCCCGCTCCCAGCGACTCCGAGCTCCCTCCGCTTTCGATTTTTTTAAAGGGGGTTTTGGGGGCGTTGGGGGGGCTTTGGGGGTTTGGGGTTTAGGGGCTTTAGCGGCTTTAGGGGGCTTTGGGGTTTAGGGTTTAGGCATTTGGGGGTAGTTTAGGGGTTTTAGGGGCTCCGGGCGTTTAAGGGTTTTTGGGTTTAGGGTTTTAGGCATTTGGGGGTTCAGGAGGGTTCAGGACTCCAGCCCGGGGCAGGGAAAGGACTTTAGAAGGAGCTGCAGTTTGGACTAGGTAACAGCGTCACATACGACCAGCCCGGAATTGCTTAAGTGCGATGGTGTGTAATTTGTGTGGAGGCCCCAAAGCGCCAAGAAACTCTGAGAAAGCTTGGGACCAGAACTTTAGGGTTGTCACAAGATAGCGATTTGGGCAGTTGCAAAGAAGCTAGGCAGTCTGGGTATCACAGGATCCGCGCAAGTTTCATGACTCCTCCTCCGCCGCCGGTATGAGATTGACTCCACATGCTACAATGGAACATTGTGCTATACTGGACCCTAAAAGTCGGGATTCCGGTCGATGCACAGAGAGCTGCACTGTCTGTGGCACAGTTCCCAAGGCAGATACAAATTCCTGTGCTGAACGTGGAGTCCACTGAAGCCGTGGTCTTGGAAACCATGGGCAAGGGAACTAATCGATCCCCGAAACTCGCAAGGCCTCGTGGCCATGGTAATCTGTCGCAGCAGGAGCCAGAATTATTGCCGTGGCAAGGGTCATAATATTCCCGATGGTAGTATCGTGGAGAGACATAGAGAAAGAACTAGCAGTGGCACGAGGCAAGACTGCCGCCGTGACTCAGAGGAGTAGTAATCGTAGTAAGAGCCATACTTCTCATAGGATTCAAGGCAGTTGTAGCAATGGCACCGAGACCAGCTGCTATGGGAGCAAATGCAGTTGCGGCAATCAAGAATGTGAGTGTGAAAGTTTGGAGCCACAGCAATAGGAGACTTGTAAGAGCAAGAACCACAACAGGGTCGTAAGACGAACAAGTCAGGGACCAGTTGCAGTTATGCTACGGGGCGGTTACACATGAGAGCACCATGCAGTGATCTCATCTTATTTCATCGCAAATCATATCCCACATCTTCTGTGTCTCACTTCGCTTCGCCTCCCCTCACCTCACTGCACCGTACCATACATCACCTCACCTCCGTGAGGTGCCTCACCTCCCCTCACGACTTCGCCTCGTCACACCTCATGTCTTCGATCCGGTGGAGCCAGCCCAAAGGGCACACACAACGGCTGCTTTTCGGAAAGTGAGTCACAAGCCCTTGCTTTGCAGAGTGCTTAGGCTGAGGCATTGCCTCCGAGATCCTCCTCAACTTTCCAGGCCATGGTATGCTTGAAAGCCACGATTCTCGGGGTGTGTGTGTGTGTGTGTGGCTTCGACGGCTTTGGAAATAGCTCTGGCTTTCGGGTGGACTCGGTGGACTCGTCGGGGGCAACTTCATAGATTTAAGATGCCGTGGGCCGTAGGATGCTGAAAGGTCTGAGTATGATTCCTGTTTGTGACTGTTAGTGACCCTTTGATGGAAGTTATTGAACCCGACTCATGTGGCTAACTGTCTTTCGTTCGGTGAAAGGTGACCCATCACACATTGTGCATCCATGCACCACTCCATTTTGCCGCTCTGCCGGAAAGGCGCGAAACTCGCCCAGCCTGCAGGCAGGGTGCATGCAGGAAAGCTGGCCTGGGGTAGTTCAGTTACGATGGCAGCATTGTCCTTCTCATAGCAGGTGAGACCACTCAGCGGCAGCAGCTCGACTTTCCAGTGCAGCTTTTGACCTGGGAACTGCCGAGTTGCGTTTGGAGAGCCTTCCAAGGTCGCTCCTTGAGGAGTTCTCCTTCCCAGCAAAGCAATCCCCTAACGTCGGCAGCTGGGACGCAGAACTTGGCCTTAATCTCTGAAGAAGGGTGTCAGATGTACGAAGACAGACCAAAATAGTTCTTTTTCATGGTGTCAGGACATGGCCAAATCGCTGAGATCCACCTTCGACAGCAAGGCTCGGGAAACGCGACACAACACTGGTTGAGAGGGTGCGTAGCAGAGCCTGCATGGGCTTGCATCCGGGGGCAGCACTTTGCTGATGATCAAAGACCATTGGCCGTTCCTCTTCCGTGGAGGGCGGTGCGGGGGTTAGAAGTTAGACCGTCTTCTTTGCATTTGGCCAGCAGAGTGCAGAAGTCTCTGACTTTGCAATCTGCGTAATAGGTCTTTCACATGCTCCGCAGGTGTTTGGGAATACCTTGCGCCTGGACGAGCGCCTTCCTTGCATAGGGCACACGTGAAGCCCAGGCATGCAACTGCCGTAGCAGGGTCACACACACACACGCATGTATCTTCTTCCTGAGGCCCACTGACCTGCGGATAGACCGTAAAAGTCTCTAGTAGCAGGCATATGCTTACAGACATGCGCTAGTTACTGCTGTAGACTGCAAGATAGTCTGTGGGTGTGGAGGGGGATGTTCCTCTTCAGCGGCGGAGCCTACGTATCACGCACCGCAAGCTGAGGACTCGTGGCGAGGGCTCCATACCACGATGGAAGCTGCACAGCTGCTCGGTTGAGTCTCGAACTCGCAGACTTCTGTTCAGAGTTTGCAATAGGCAACCCTCGGGTATCGCCGATTGATTGAGGGTGCAGCATTGCGATGGTATGGCGCAGTATCCATGTTCAATCAAGCGGTGCTGCTAAGAACTCGCACGGGAGATGAACATGACGGTGGAAAGCGTCATCGTTGCGAAGGCTAGCAATGCCGGGTGTTGGCACGGTGTTGCGAGAAGTAGACTAGGTCTGAGTTGCGTTGGCAACGACGGTTGTGGTGATGCATCATGACTTCGTGCTAGGCCTGAGTTCACCATCCCGTCAGAATGCTCGAGCTGCAGGAGATTTTCGACGATCACGACTTTGATGGCTCGGGGATGCTCAGCCTCGACGAGATCGCGAAGGTCATCGAAACACTTATGGAAGCTTGTCTAATGGGTCTAATGGTGGGCCGACTCAGAAAATTAATCTTGCATGCTTCCACGACACGTTTACTGTCCGAGCTGAGGAATTTCAGATTGCGGACAAGGAGTGTGTCAATTACCGCATCGAATCCGGGCAGACAAATCGGTTGCGAGGCTGCACTGGCTCGTACATAGGATCTTCAACGGCTTTGCTGATGAGAAGGCTTTCCACCGTGATACCAGTCATGAAGATGATCTTAGCCTCGCCAAGTTACATCCGCTACAAAGTGTGTTGAGGCTGCTCAACTACTGGCTCAAGCACCTTGGCTGTGAGAGCATGTGCTTCTAGGCGACAGACATGCGCTTCATCTCGAAGCCGACCCGCATTGTTTTTTTGCGTCGGGGCTCCATGAATTTGCCCGGGGCACAGCCGCTATGCGTACCCGCATTGAATTCCCGTAGATGATTCAGGCCGCTTCTAATAGCTGATCGCCGAACAACCCCCTTTTTTCAGAGTCGCCGCATCAATTGAAGTCTTGACGTCATAGAATGATGTAGCGTCACCTCGGCAGCTCGTGGGAGGTCTACCCACAGATTAAGCAGCTCCTCAAGCTTTTGCACGCACGCGAGTGAAGTGACGAATCTGCGCTGTGGGCACAACGCATTGAGACATTGATCTTGCTCGGAATATCGTTCCGGCGGCACCAAGGTTTGCCCCCGAAGGGGTGTTCGAACTGGATTTTGAGAGCTTCTTGATCTGGTACTCGTGCCGAGCCAAGTTGGTGAGGCTGAAACCTGAGACGGATATTCATGAACCCGGATGCGGCTGACCTTGCGGAGCGCAGGGATTGACGAAGACAGTTCAAAAACACGATGCTGCGAGTTCAGGTGCACTGGATTCCTGACTGAGCTCATGATTGATGACAGGGACTGCCAGTTGACACTTGTGAAAAGTCGCTGAAACACGATCCGTTTGACCCGCAGACCGTTTTTTCGCGGGAAGCTTGCATTGCAGTGGTAGGGCGATGAGATCCGCGGTCTGCCCTTTGCCGAAGGAGATCCGCCTGCGTCTGCTTGCCAAGGCCAATAATTTGGATGCCCTCTGCATGGACAGAGTGAGGCCTGTTCGTCGGTGGTCACCTTGGGGCGCAGGTTTCTCAGCACTTCGCAGCATGCTTCTTTCAAGGTTGACTTTGGGCGTCGTCTGCCCAAGCTAAGCGGTTCGGCAGGGTCGGTGCCGGGAGCGGTGAATCTGTGACCAAGTAGGCTCAGACTGTCTTCAACGACTCCCACAGATCCCAGCATGGCCTGGGAAACCTGACACATCGAGATGAATGTGGGCTCTGTGACTGACGGTGCAACTGTACGGGTGTCAGGCTCAAGTGCCCAAGTTTCGTGGGACATCGGAAGCTAAGGGGTTGTTCATGTTCATGACAGCAGGAAGTCCTTCAACTCCATCGATGTGGATGGATCCGGAGAGGCATCAAGTGTGCTTCCTTTGCACCTGCCCAGCTTGACACTGCAGTTTCTTGTGACCTTAGGGCAGGGGCTGGTATCCGTACATTAGCTGCGGTGCCACTCTCTGCTAACCTTGACCCTCTGCCGCTGGTTGATGCTGGTTGTGCATCGCTCTGCCACGGTAGATGTGGGCCATTCGCACTTACAGTCCAGTCTCTGTCGCAGCATGTGACGACCGCAGGTTGACATTCGCGAGTTCGAGAGCATTCTGCGAGAGGCCACTGCACCTGCCATTGTTGTTGTGTTGTCGACTTATGCAAAAGCACGAAATTCTGAGATATGCCAGCAGCAGGGTCTTTCCTACAGCTAGCTATCCGCCAGCCGATCTACAGGTCTTTTCGAGGCACAGGACCAGAACACTCGCGGCCTCCCCAAGGTCTTGAAAGTTCCGGCCCACCTCGACATGCCAGAGTCGCGAATCCGTCGGGATCCCAACGCTGGAACGTTTTGTACACCAGAGCCTAGATCTTCGCTGTTGTTCAGGAGCTTTCGAGGGTCGGGGTCCTCCTGGACTGTGCAAATCTGTCGGGCTGCAGACTTCAAATTTGTGTTCAGAACTTTGGAAGCCGTGTGCAGCCATGGGTTGAACAGTGCCGGAGGAGCTGGTTAGATTGCTGAAGTGGTTATGCCCCTGTCTAGCTCCAGCGTTGCTGTGCATGTTAGTTGCTTGTGTGCAGCTGGCAAGCACAAATCCGACGGGAGCCTTTCCTTTCAGGCTACTTCTGGAACGAGATTGACGTGGATGGATCTGGCAAGGCTGTCCAATCTGCCTGAAGAGCACGATCAATAGACTTCAATGTTGCTGTCGCAGATGAAAATCGACTTCCCAGCCTCTCGCCACAAGGCTGGCTTTGACGAGTTCCTCAGCTTCTGGCAGACCTGGCATGGTTGGAATTCAATTCGGCTTTCCAGCCAGCCAACTCCTCCTTTATGTCTAAGCCAGCTTTCCAGAGTGCCGACGGCGTGCACTCCAGGCTGTCGCAGTTCGGCTCGTGCGGCCCAAAGAGTTTGATGGCACTTTTGGCCTTTTGGCAGTCATGTCCGGCGTCCTACTTGTACCTGGAAAGATTGTTGTCGCCATGAACAACAGCGAGACATGGACACCAGTCTTTCCCCTTGGCATCACAGAGCCGCAGCAGCGGGAAAAGCAGCTGCAGTAGCGACAAAGGCAACCAAAGAGCTGCAGCAAGAACAGAAGAAGATTGCTACTCATCCTGCCACGGCTAAGGGCCACTTCCGGTCAAAAGGGCCAGACATTGTCGCTGCCTGGCCGCAGCTGAAAAGCTCACTACTGGTAGCTGCATCAAAGCTCTTTGACCTAGTTCTGCTATACCCTCGTGGCGGGAGTCCGGGGGGGCTGCGCCTTCAGGTCACTGTCTAGCGGGTGCTGTGGCTAGATGTCCTTGGCTCGAGCATATTTGCACTCCTTCCTTATCCCATGTCAGACCATCTAGAACACAAACCAGGGGGAGGTCTTCCCCCTTCCTGGCAGCCCAGGAGTAAGTTTTGGCTTAGATTTGCAGGAGCTTCATGGTGGTCGGATCTGTCCCCTGTAATTCGTGCCTTTCTCAATACAGGACTCAGGCATGTCTATTCTGTTTATGGTCGTAGGGTTGAATGTACGAAGATGTCGGTAGGAAGACTGCGCTGCGCCGATGCCTTCACTGAGGCTCGAGGATTTCTACAAGTCTCAGAGGAGAATCGGAGCCAAGTGAGCCTTTGCATGATGAAAGTGACTACTGGCATGTGTGTTAGTTCTGCTCGACAGTAGATGAGAGCCTGCCTGTGAAGTAGCATCCCATTCTAGCGTTGCGCCAGGTACTTGGATCCACATTGGAATGCTGTGGACCAATTAACAAGCTCGGTGTCAGAATTCATAGATTCCCTTTAAGGTTCACAACTGAGGGATCATATCTGCATGAAGCCATCTTGGCTATCAGAGTCAATGCTCCATTGTAGCAGACCTCATCATGATAAGCAATGTTTGTCACTGCTTAGCAGGCTTGTCGCTCGAAGTCACGGCTTTGTGCTCGTCCATATTCATGTCTGTACTGTGTGTTACGCGTCAGCCCAACTGCGGTGCAAGTGCTCACATTGCGCTTCGAAGAAGCTTCAATCGTGCAGCTGCACTGTTTCATTCTGCCTACAGCTAGGTGTAGCTGTCAAAGCTGGTTTAGCTGCCTCACTTTGAAGAGGTGATGCATAGACGGGGGTCATGTCAAAGCTGCACGACTCACGTGAAGACTTAGCAATACTTAAGATATGGCGAAAGAACGTAGACCCCATGGACTTATTCGGGAAAGGTGCTGTTGAGACTTGAAATTAATTCTTTAGATTTAGAAGAAAAAAATATACGTACGAGATGCCGGGCATGTACGATAATATTTACTTTGGGCCATGATCTCGAATTCTGAGTATCTATAATATAGATTATCTTGTCTCCTATTGATATTATATGAGTTATATGATAAAATACATATATGAATTTAAACAAGAATATAAGAATTTAGGTTAATACGAATATTTTAGGAGGAAAATGAATCGAATACAACTAATATTCGGAAAGAAAAGAAAAGATAAGATAAATTATAGAATAAAGACATTATATTGGAATATATATATATATTATAAAGATGACGGTTTTTATATTTAAGATTAATTTTTGGAAATATAGATTATTTTATGAATAGATTGGAAATTTAAAATATGATAAATTGATATCGTATTTCTTGTGATCGTGATTTCGTACGAGATTTGATTCGTGAAAATTTTATTTTTTGATTCGTTTTCTTCTAAAAATACCTTGTGCGTTTAGTTTACGGTATTAGAATTTCAGAAGTTCTGATGTTAAGAATTTTCTCTTCCGATACGAGATTGATTGGAATTTTGAGAGATTTAGAAAATGTCGTATAATTAAATTATGAATTTTTGATTTTTATATTTATTTAGGAGGTTGTGGTTTGAAGATATTAGTGCATTCTATAAGACCTTAATATTTTTGCATACGAAGGGTCTTAAAGAGGTCTGGAAGGTTTCGATTTCGTAAATTTCTCTGATTGTTGGTTTTAGTAGCGATTATAATTAGAAATCTATTTTAAAGGCGGCAAAAACGGTCTATTTTTTAAGACGTCGGCTTCATAAAAGATGCTTGGACTTGTTAATTAATATTGAGATTAGATAAGAAAAACCGACTAACCGTGTTTGTTCGTAGTTCTGGACTTCTGCTGAAGTATTAAACCTGCTTTCCGAACTTAGAACTCTTCCGAACCTCATAAAGACCGAAACATGGCAACAAATTCGCTACCAAAAGCAAAAATTATCTTTCTATAACTAAGCCCCATTGATGTCTTGGACCCCGCGCCCGGCTTTATTTATTTGCATCTATTTGTCTGGTGGCGACAGGTATTTTCCATTTTATTCTCTTTTAACAAATCTCTCGATAAAGAATTAATATTTAAGTCTTTTTCTATATTGATAGAAATAATACATTTAATTTTAAATTTCTTTTTTTGTTTTCTGGCAATATGATCTTATTCATATATAAAAAAAGATATGATTATATTTATATCCGTACGAAAATAATTAAATTCTGTTGGTTTTAATTAATTGATATGCAAATAAGATATATTCTATAATAATAAATTTGAAAACTTATTATTTTTATTTATGATATTATTTATTATATTGTCATATTTCGATATATACTTGTCATTCAATTCGAATAATTATTTTCTACTAAATTTCTCGAATTAAATAGATAATTAAA